TTTTTTTTTGCGGTACGTGGGCCTCTCACTGTTGTGGCCTCTCCTGTTGCGGACCACAGGCTCCAGACGCACAGGCTCAGTGGCCATAGCTCACGGGCCCAGCCACTCCACGGCATGTGGGATCCTCCCAGACCGGGGCACGAACCCATGTCCCCTGCATCGGCAGGCGGACTCTCAACCACTGCGCCACCAGGGAAGCCCAGTCTCATTTCTTAATGTCTAATTTCATATATGAACAAATTGTAAAGGCTCTCAATAATGTTATCTCTCTTTAGAGAGAATTCCTGCTATTCTCTGTAGGTGGGTATCTAGAAAAAGGAAGAAATCATCTTAATCCAATCAAGGACTGCCTTGCAGTTTTTATAAAACTCAGTTGATCAATGCTATCAATGCTTCATCCTCCTTCCTGGGGTATACCTCTTCACAGGTCTCACTGAAGAGTCTAGGGTATTGACTAGGGTCCTTTTTCAAAGGTGGGTCATCCAAGTCCAATTTTTCTCTCTTTGACACTGTGAGACTGCAAAATACTCTAATCTGCTTTTCTGTTTAGCTTCTTAGCCTCTTGCCCTGTGCAGCTTAAGAATTCAGAAAACGCCTTGAAGGAAAAACCTCTGTTTCAGGCTCACTTCTCTATATGTTTGGATCATGGTCCCTCACGTTCTGGCAATCCCAAACTCCAACTTTTGTCTCTATAATTCTATCAGATTTCTAAGAGCATTGCTGGCTTCTCTGACTCTTAAGTGTGGCCCTCTGCCCAGAATCTTGGTTTCCTGCCCTACAACAAATATTGACAAACTCCCAGTAGGAGAGAAACATCTCATAGATATAGATTCACCAATCTGTAATTCTCTTCTCTGTAGGATCTAGGCCCCTAAATTCAATTTGCCTGGGCAGCTTTCTAATGCTAGGCAACAGACCTTTTTCAGCTCTTCTCAGCATGAATATTGGTCTGCCAGAAGCTACTTCATCTTAGCTGGAACCAGATGCCCCACCTTCATTGTATTTTAAGCCCTTTGTCAAATTTCTCTTTGTACTTTGCCATGTTTGTCTACTAATTTGGAACAGATGCAAACTATATACAAGGGCTGTAAACATACACACACATTTTATTATAGTTCAGATTTGCATAGTATTGTTAAAATTATATGCGACTAATAAATAAGAAAATGTGATTATACACCAATAAAAGCCTGAAATATTTCCAAAATTGTTGCTTCACTGAAGCATAAAGGTAGCAGAGTACATGTTCAGTATCTTTTAGATCTGTCTGTGTATCCAAGTAGAAATATGTAAAAACACCAACTATGCTGGTGAATTTTACTGTTCATGTTAAAATCTTTAATTGTAGCCTACCACTTTCAAGACAATTTCTAGAAACACTTATGAGTGTTTAAAGAAGTAGGAAATCTTTAAAAGAAGTGTTTTAATAAGTTGTCGGTTGTGAAATCAGTTTAGTAGTTCCCATGTAGTAAAGGTAAATATAGTTCCAGGAAAATCAATTCAGTTATATATACACATCCCTCTATATGTGTATGCTGGATTATGATATAAAATGTATTTCTTACTGTGATTTGTGGCCAAAAAGTTTGAAAACTGCTACTCTATAAAATCATCAAAGAGGCCTTGATTTCTTTCTACAAGGCATGAAAAACCAACAGACCTGTTATTTAATACTCATAGATGATAACTTCTTACCTTTTTAGAGCACTTGGCTGTGGTTTTCAGACAACACCTCTTATGACAAGCATACTTGCATACTGAAAAATAGGTTAAGAATGTAGCATTTTCAGAAGTCCGTACATCAGTGACAAGAATTTAATACGTTTACTGCTTTATTTTGAGCATATATTCTTTCCTTTAAATCTGAGACTGCTATAGTATCACATACATATACTTTGTATGGTATTAGAATGAAAACTTGTCTTAATTCATCCAATTCAGAAAAATGAAGTTGAAAAACATACCTAAAATTTCTAACCACTGTCTATGAAAAAGCTTTTTATTCTTTCAAGATTGCCCACCCCTCCTCCCGTCCCCACCATATTCCAGCAGAATATATATCTCTGTGGTCTGATTCACAAACTAGTGCTCATGTTCCCCTCTTAAATTTGTTCTACGATCTGCTAAAATGAAAGAAATACCTATTAAGAATCATTCCAATGGGTAAGAAAAGCATTACTGTCAAAGACTTTTATAAAATAAAAACAAATTTGGTAGCATACTAAGATATAAGAAAGGCCTTATTTACTATCCTAGAAGGTCCAGAATAGAGCTCTGAGGAACCAGAACATAAAGAATATCAGTAATGATTGGGAAGATGAGATAAGGAAGAAGTTAAGACCAGAAATAATTTCTCAGAGCAGTAGATAACAGGGTGGCTAGGCAGCAGTAGGTGCGAAGGGCACGCTGAGAGGAGGATATGGAGAAACTACTTGGCCTACATCATTTTGGTACACCAGCTCTGGCTCCTGCACATCAACACCTGAATATCCTTCTTGAGCTTCTAAAGCATGACTTGAGGGGTTTTCAAAGCCAAGATCAAGGAGGGGAGACCATACCATTGTACTGGTGAAATCACCAGTATAAGCACAAAAAAAGTTTGTTAATGCCGTTAAGAAATCAAACCAAACCCACCCAAGTCATAAAAAAAAAAAAAGCAGATTCTTTATATTTTCAGTTTCAGATCACAGAGAAAATCATACGAAACCTACAGAAATCAGACTAACACTAAACGGTCAAGTATGTGGCAAACTACTCCCAATTTCACTTTCACTGCAATTTTTTTATACTACTGATAATAAAACAAAAAGAAAACCACTTTTGAACCACAGAACAAGTGAACATATCCAGCAATATCCAAGTGCTGATTTCACTATGGTGAACATGATTTCCATCCTTGTTGTCATACTGGACACAACCCTTCCTAATATTTCTTTTACTCAGTTCTGGCCCACTAGTAAACAAAGACTCACAAAATTATTAAAAGCACCAGAATAGATGTATGGAATGACAGGAGTAGACGCTAAAGACCCTCTGTAAGCCAGAACCAAGCTGACCCACAAAAAATCTCTACTCACATTCTAGGATTTAAAGCTTCTGATAAAGAATTATAGTAGAAAAAAGTACCTTTCTGGTTATAATCTAAGAATTTGTTCATTAATTCATCCAACCATCTATAGGTCCATCTATCCAATAAATATTTACTAAAACTTATAATGTGCCAGAACTGTTTTGTATACTTCTAGGTATACAGAAGAGACAGGTAAGTTTCCTGACCTTACAGAGAACACATTCTAGTGTGACAAACAAGAAAACAAATGAATACTTAACATAATCTTGGGTGATGATAACTACTATAAAGACTAGAAAAGCTGAGTAAAGGGATAGAGAATTGGGGGACAGGGTGGCATTTTAGATAGGAGGGTGGAGACATGACTCCACTGAAGTAGTATGTCATACTAACATCTGAGAGAAGAGCATTTCAGATGGAGGGAGCTGCAAGTACAGTGACCAAAGAACACCAAAATATCTTATTTGCCAACAAAGAGCAGGTAAAGGGAACGATAATGAGAGATGAAGTTAAAGAATTAGGGAGTGTGAATTATTCCTTAATGTTAAAGAAGATTTAAGAAAACTCATGGAAACAGAAATATCAAGTGGTTAAAAAATTCCTCATAGAACTCTCATACTTACATTTGCAAACAGAGGCTCGGTCCATTATCCATATCAAAGAAGAACAGTACTCACAGTATGTAGGGATGCTATACTGGGTGGCTTTAAAGATGTGACCATTGTGCTCTTCTACCTGAAGGAAAAAAATATAGCTATCTATGTTAAAGCCAACACAGTAAATGCTGCCCTAACATGTCGGGCAATGGGAAATCCTTCAATTCCCTGTTGTCTTCATTGGGTACTTATTCCAGGAGGAGAATTATGATCTGAGAAATAAAATAAAGGTAAAATATATGATCCCTGCTTTCAAAAAGTGAACAATCTAGTAGAGACAAAACCAACTTATATGAAAATCAGAAAACAATGCTATAAACATTTAAGAGCTGTCTTATGCAACTCTGAATTGGCATGTTAAATTAAAAACAGCAGTTCTCAAATTTTTATTTTTAATCTCAAGAATTTTTCACACTTCTGAAAATTACTGATGATCTCAAGATACTTCTGTTTATAAGAGTTATGAGTTAGAAATTAAAACTAAAAAAAATTTAACTATCCAATTCACTTAAAATTATCATTAAACATATTCCATGTTAACATAAGTAACATTTTAATGAAAAACAACTGTATCTTTAAAACACACAGGGCTTCCCTCGTGGCGCAGTGGTTGAGAGTCTGCCTGCCGATGCAGGGGACGCGGGTTCGTGCCCCGGTCCAGGAAGATCCCACATGCCGCGGAGCGGCTGGGCCCGTGAGCCATGGCTGCTAAGCCTGCGCGTCCGGAGCCTGTGCTCCGCAATGGGAGAGGCCACAACAGTGAGAGGCCCGTATACCGCAAAAATAAATAAATAAATAAATAAATAAAACACACAAAAAAAGTAATGACAAGAGGGGTACGGTACTGTTTTACATTTTTGTAAACCTCTTTGATGTCTGGCTTAATAAAAGACAACTGGATTCTCATATCCACTTCTGTATGCAATCTGGTGGCAGTATGCAATTAAGTTTGAAAAATATGAAGAAAATTCAGCTTCATACAGATATGAAATTCGAAAATGGAAAAATAATTTAATTGTCCTTTCAGAAAATGACACAATATTAAAACTCTGCAAATGGTAACTTAAAGGTTAATTGAAATATGGAATCTAAAACCACACCAATCAACTCTTCATATTCTGTAACATTAAAATCCATTGTTCTGGACTTCACTAAAATTTACAACTTTTACTTCCAAGTACCATTAAGAAAATAAAAAGATAAACCACAGACTCAGAGAAAATATTTGCAAATTGTATATCTGATAAAGGACTTCTACCTAGAATACAGGAAGAACTGTATTAATAAGAAGACAACTCAATTTTTTAAATGGGCAAAATATTGAATAGACAGTTCATCAAAGAAGTATAAATGGCCAAGAGGCACATGAAAAGATGCTCAAATCATTAGTTATCAGAGAAATGCAAATCAGAACCATGATGGGAAACCACTTCATACCCTCTAGAACAGCTATAACTATTAGACAAAACTAACTATTGGTGAGGATGTGGAGAGACTGGAACCCTCAGATATTTCAGGTGGGATTGTAAAACGGTACTGTTACCATTTTGGTAACTATATGGTATAGTTCAAATACTGAATCATTATGTTGTACACCTGAAAGTAGTATAATGTTATATGTCAATTATATCTCAATTTTTTAAAATAAATAAATACATATATATACACATTTACACATACATACATACATTTAGGGGAGTATTAGTAGTCATTTTTGTCTTAATTAATCAAATAACCAACTAACTAAATGAAAAAGATCTAACTCACAGTTCATCCATCCCACAGCTTTATAATATGACCTTAGCTCTGTGATGTCTCAAATATTTCCAGATACTGACATTTTATCACACAGATATCCTTCTATTTAATGAAACTGTAAATCACACACATGCACATTATTTTCCTCTACTGGAACTCAATATTAAGTTAGTTTCATTAAAAAATTACTTTATTATAAATGGATCAAAAGGTACAAAATAGAATACAATGAAAACCTTTCTTTCACCTCTGAATTCCAACTGTTTACTTCCTCTTATAGAAATAATCACTGATACCAGTTTCCTGTGTATACTTTCAGATATCGTGTGTGTGTGTGTGTGTGTGTGTGTGTGTGTACAGTTATAAACATATTTTGTTTTTTTAAAAAATATACGAATAGTAGCTTTCTATATAGTGTTTGGCTCTTTGCTCTTTTTAATTAATAAAACATCTTGGAGAATGGTTTCTCTTACTTTAATGCCAATCAGTATTATATTATATAGATGTATCTAATTTATTTAACCGTTTCCTTACTGATTTAGGTTGTTTTCAAAACGTTTATTTATTACAAATTCCTCTTCAATAAAGAGCCTGTACATGTCAGTGTGAATAAATTGATATAACCACTGGATAAATTCCTGTATGTGGAATTGCTGCATCAAAGGTTTTTTGGTTTTGTTTTTAATATTTTTAAGGCTTTTAATACACCATTATTAAAAGTACCTTCTCCGAGAAGGTTATGCAAATAACCCCATTTGCAGTATTGAAAAAATCTATATATTTCTTTATCTTTCCAAACTAGGTAACTAATTTAACTTTGCTCATAGATGGACAAAGTAGAAAATCACTGCTGTTTCATTTTAATTTGAATACTATTAAGTATAAACATTTATTCATATATTTCTTAACATTTCTTTCTATGACCTGCACTTATCACAGGCCCTGAAATATAATAGCAGTTGAATTAATGAATTTTCTTTTTTTTTAATGTCATACGCTTTACTCATTTTTATCTCAAGGTATTGTTCTTTTCCTCATTGATATGAAAAAGACTATTCTTATAAGGCTTAAAATGTATAAAAGGCCTAAACACTACCTGTTAAATAACAGGTGCCTTCCTGTTACTCCTCCACCTTCCCTACGCTTTACTTCATACACAATCTCAAAAATCCTCAGTGGTGGGTGACATTACACCTGTTTTATGTAATTCTATTTTACTCCTATTTTATATAATATATACTCCTATTATATACATGAGGACATTGAGACTCAAAGATTAAGTTGTCTAAAGTTTCTCCATTGGTGGACAAAAGTAAGCCAGGCTAAGGGCTTAAATATCCTACTTTCAGGATTCCTTTTCCTTCCATGAAAAGGAAGAAACTCTTTAACAGGTAAGATAATGCTAAAATAGAGTCAGATCATGCTTCTAACACACACAGTGGAAAAGTGACAAGCAATGATCTAAAAAACCTTAGAATTTGGTTTACAAGTGATAGGGGATGATTTATAATCCTGATTTATTAATAAGGTTAACAATAAATATTCTAGGATTAGAATTTACCATTGGCAGGGGTGAATCCAGGTTCTGTAGGCCCTAAAGCTTAACATTTTCAGGGGAAATGGAGGAAGACAGGATGAGCAGGGGAAACAACTTGGGAAGAAAGAGGAGAAGGTGGTGGAGGCAAATGCAACTGAAGCAGAGGGAACAGGCGGAGAGTGGGAGGAAATGAAGCTTAGAGAGGTCAAGGTCAAGATCATGTCGAATCTTGTAGGCATGGTAAGAACTCTGAGTTTTACTCTGAGTAACACTGGAAGACACTAGAGAGTTCTGAGTAGAGGAGGAACATGACCTGATTTTTGTTTTTAAATGTTCATTATGGCTATTATGTAGAAAACTGTAAGGGGAGAAGAATATAAGAAGGCAGATCAATTATGAGACAACACATAGTATTACTGGACTATTGTAATAGCAGTGGAGGTGGTGTGAAATGGTCAGATATTAGATGCATTTTGGAGGTAGAGTGCTGGCCAGAGTTCTACCTACATTTCCAGCCACCCCCACATAAACATGCAATACCTGAGCCTATTAAAGCTACTGGCTCAACAAGCCAGATTTTTCACTCATGTGTCTCTGGACATACTCTTTC